GTTGAGGAATGTGGGGACTGGAATTGGAAAACAAGGAATTGAAGGGGAAAAAAGAGATAAAGACTAGCTGAGAAATAATCAAGATTCCCCAAGGGTGTTCTCAGTAGTAAGCAAATCTAAATATTATGGTTGTTGCCCCTTCAGAAAACCAGAGCCCCAAAGCACTCTCTCTGCTACCTATGCTGTTGCAGGTTCACCAAGGTGTTTATTCTGTTTCTAGCAATGGATTCAATGAATATATTCTGGAGGTCTCTATGGCATTCATTCATGATTGCCTTAAGGATTAGAGATGTTTCCAGAAGTAGATTACTTTTAGTTATTAAAAATTTATAACTATTACTCCCAAATTTCCCTGAACAATTTTTAAAGTTTTTTTTCTCCTATAGTATATCTTGGGGTAAATAGACCCATGGATTATCTACACTACACGTAAGGAAGAGCAACCTTTTCATTGTTTCAAATTTACATAGGTTTCCATGATGGGAACTGGCACTGGTAAACAAGTCCACCAGGCTGAATGTTTTTAGACAAGTCATTTCACCACACTGGTCCTCACTTAATCTCAGTTACTGTGTATATGTCACCTCACACATTTTATTTCCTAAGGAACAAACAGTTAAATAAAATAGGTATGTACATATGCTTTGAAATAATGAAGACATAAAAATGTCGATGATTATTCTTAATTTTTAAAGTATTATAAGCGTAGCTTCATAATTTTTCTTTAACAAAGTAGGAGATATTTTTATTTTAAAATTGAGAACTTTATATTGAAAATTTGGTGAATTAAATTGTATTATTCTCAAATTGTCAACCCACCCTGGTGGCGCAGTGGTTAAAGTGATTGACTGCTAAGCGAAAGGCCGGCAGTTCGAAACCACCGATGGCTCCACAGCAGAAGGACGTGGCAATCTACTTCCATACAGATTTAAAGCCAATGGGGTCACTATGAGTCGGAATTGACTCCACAGCTGTGGGTTTTTTTTTTCTCCACCCTATCCAATAAAGTCCTATAAAGGGAAAAAATGGACAAGCACAAATTAATTATTTGGTCCTTTTCGTTTCTCTACCTTTGCTGTCCGCCCCTTTTCATCCTCTTTCCATTACATTCCTTTATCCCTCTTTCCTTTCAGGATACAGCCCTGGCTCTTTTCCCTGCTATTTTATAAACAGTGGGTTAGTAAAAAGCAAATATTTAGGAGGGAAAATGAAATGGAAAGTAATCTTCACAAATTTATTAACCATGGTTGCTCCCATTCTAGTTTTGTTTTGTAGTGGGAGTTTCAGCAGCTCCTCCTATGCACTTGGCTTGTTTACATCCAAATTTTCTTTCTTGTAACATTACACCAGAGTGCCCTGGTCAGAATCAACTTATCCATTAGGCACTGTGGGCACAATGCCAAAGGGCCATGATACTTCTAGGGCCCTACAAAAATGTTTAAATTTCTTATAAAATTACAAAAAAAAAAGAACTTCTAGAGTCAATGAAAATGTTTTAATTTTCAATCCAGCCTGGATTATATTCATCTTTATGTCAGTCATGAAATTATAATGATAGTACAGTCATAAAACATAATTTTTAATATTTTTTTATGAAGGAAGGGATCAAAGAAGGCAACAGTGTTTAGGCGCACAAAAGTCAATGCAGTCATGGCCCTCGTTCCTGACTTTCGTATGCTGCTGCTGCATCTGTACTTGTCAGTCTTCCCAAATATCTATGACTTTAGAGGATAATAATTGTCATTAAATATCCATTTTCAAGCACACAGTGATCTAAGTTTTTGGAATACAAAGATGAAAAGACATGCTGTCTGCGGATGCACAGATTAGTGGTGGAAATAAATTGGAGTGCAGGAAAGCAGCAGGAACATTTCTGAGCAGGGCCGAGGACCCAGTTGAGGCTCCAGGTATAAAGATGAATTGGTTCCAGCTCACATGGCAGTGTGATGTCCTCCAGAAACGTTTACAATCCAGGACAGCTACCAGATGGAAAGAGTGATTGCATATATCCATGTTAGAAAGAGTAGTCAGGAAGATTTTTGCAAGGATAAGGAGGCTTTGTTGGAGGGTCTTTTAAATGATCAACCAAGGGGGATCATGTTGGATAGCAAAGAAAGTGAACCAGAAGTTGAATGGACAAACTTGGAGAACAGGATATCAAGATGGAGGAGTTGCAGATTATAATATGGTTAAAAACATGTTTAGTGAGAGGACTTAACTAAAAATTTGATGGCTTAGCAGAAACTTCAAGGATGAATGGGGAGTCTTCTGAAAATCCTAGGAGATAACTTCCTTTCAGAGAGAGAAACAGACCCCTGCAAAGACAAGGAAATATGAAAGAATAATTTGGCTATATTAGCAGATGAGGTACTACTTGTGGAAGATGTTGGACTATAAGGCTGAAAAACTAAGCAGGAGACAATATTTTCACATTGCTACCAGGAAGATATACATTAATACGAATTTTATTATGTCTATCCTTTCTGCCTAAAATCTTTCAGTCACCTCCTATAGTTATCAGAATAATTTTCAAATACTTTAGCTTGTCCTACAAAGACCTTCTCATTTGACCCCTGCCTCTATTTTTGACCTGATTTCTCACCATTCTTCCACATAAGCTTTTAACTCTAGTCTTGAATAACAACAAAAATCATTGAAATTACCAAATCAGTTAGCTTTATTTCTATCCTCTTTGGCTTTGCATGTGCCTTTTTATAGATAGCTCACTTGTCTTCAAACCTACACTCAAATAAAGCTGTCATATCCTCACAGAATATTTATTTTGCCCTTTCATTTTTATTTTGCCCTCATCCACACACTTCTGTCCTCTGATAATGCCCTGTAGATATCCCCATCACAGGACTCACCACAGTATTCTGTATTTGCCTCTTTGCTTACCTGAGTCTCCCAATACTCAGTAAGCTCCTTGATGGCAGAGACTATGCCTGATTCTTGCTTTTATTCATTGCCCCCACAGTCTCCGAACCTTGTTGATGCTCAGTAACGGAGGAAGGAAAAGAAGGAGAGAGGGAGAGACGTAGGGAGGAAGGAAGGAAGGAAGGAACAACGGTCCATATATGTCTTGGCAAAACTGTCTGATTAGGTTAATTTGGGCTGAGTCATACTGCACTAGCTGCCATTCTGCCTTGTCATACTTAGACATTCACTTTGTCCATTGAGGAAAAAGACCATAGTTTACACTGAGTCCTCGTGTGAAGGCAAATATAGAGTCAGAAAAAGGAGAGAGTCTTAGTAACTTTCTTCAGGAAAAAAAGAGGGTAAATGACAGAAATCCAGAAATCAAAGAAGGTTTCCATGTGTTATTTTAAAAAGAATCAGGTGCTCTCATCTGAAGATTGCTACTGTTACCTAACAGATTTAGAAGCATTGTTTGCTTTTTTCAAGATTTTTTTTAATGTTTTCACATTCTTGTTACTTTTTTCCTTATGTCCTATAATAGTTATAAGGAACTCTTTTAAAACAGTAAGATCCTGTTTGTTTTTCTTTGGTAAAAATGAGGAAGGGATCCCTGTGTTGAAAATGTTCTGCTCCATAAACATGTGGAAGAGAGATGAACTGTCTTGGCCTTTTCCTAGGCCTGCCTTACAAAACTACCACTAGCAGGTGGCTTTAAAGAATAGAAATTTATTTTCTCACAATTTTGGAGGTTAGTAGTCTGGATTTAGGGTGTTAGCAGAGCTATGCTCTCTCTCTGTGGGCTCTTGGGGAAGACTGTTCCTTGTCTCTTTCAGCTTCTGGTGGCCCTGGGCATTTCTTGGTGTTCCTTGGTTAGGATTCCAACACATATTTTGGGGGACACAATCCAATTCATAACACTTGGTTACTCCTGTACGACTGGACATGAGACATGATGTGGCAAATGAAATTAAAGGGTCCTGAAATATAAGGATCTCCCATTCTTAGCCATGATCCTAGTCAGCCTTGAGACGAAAGAGAGGAAAAAATGCAATAAAAAACTTCATAATGGGAGGTTTATTGCTTCCATGGACATATTGGATGAGAATTGCTGAGGGATTAGGTGGCTGGGTGGAATATCTCAGGGATCCCCATGGTAGGTAACAACTGAGAAAAGAAAAAAATCGGGATATCAGGGGTGGGAGGATTCAGAGGGGCAGGTGAGCTCTGAGGGGATTCAGCACCTTAAGTCCCAGAGAAGAAGTGAGAGGAAGAGCCTTCTCCCGTGTGTATGTTCCTATCTTGGTGCCTGTTCTCCTCTTTTATAAGACACCACTCAGAAGGGATTGGGATTAGGACACACCCTACTCTGTTATGACCTCATTAATTTAACTGATAATATCTTGAAAGCAAAACTCTGTTTCCAAACAAGGTCATATCCACTAATGCAAGGGTTAGGACTGTAACATAACTTCTGTGGGGACACAATTCAATCCCTACCAGGAAGGAAGGTATATTATTATCAACTAGTAAGGAAATGAGTGAGAGATAAAATTTATGAAATAAACAAATCTCTAGGGAAGAAAATGTAAACACCGTGATAATTTGTTCATTTCCTCATTTATTCAGTTAGGATATTTACCATATGCCTACTACTGCCAGGCACTCAGCTAGACATTCAAGGTATAGCAATAAACAAAGTATATGAAATGCTCCTCTTGTGGAGCATACATCACAGAGGAAAAGACAGACTGTATTCTAACCTAACTACTGCTGATCGTAAGGTAGAGGAGGCAGGTGATGGGAATGTTGTCCAGACACCGTGCCAAAGATGAAGCCCACAATATTTAAAAGTGAGTCTATTCTGTCACGTTTTCTAATAAGACTCTTTCTCCCTCTGTCTGCCACCTTCCTGCACCTCACCGTCACTCCAGCTGACCACGTTGGCTGCCACGGCGCAACCATCTACCAGTCTTATGGTCCCAGAGGCCAGTACACTCATGAATTTGATGGAGATGAGCTGTTCTACGTGAACCTGGAAAAGAAGGAGACTGTATGGCGACTGCCTATGTTTAGCAGATTTGCAAGTTTTGACCCACAGGGTGGACTGAGAAACATAGCTGTGCTAAAACACAACTTGGACATCTTAATTAAACGCTCCAACTCTACTGCTGCTACCAATGGTATGCATACACCACTCTGCATCTCTTTATTGAATCTATCTCTTCATACCATGTCTCACTTCCTTCTTCCCTAGAGGTAGATACCTGCCCCACCACTCTATAAAACTCTCTCCTTTACAAGAAGTTCCCACATCTTCTCCTGGTGGTGGCTGAACCCTCATCATCTCCCATCTCACATTCTCATGTAATACAAGGGCCCTTACTGCCATCATGCCTTCCTTGCCTCCTTCTAGAATGGGTCCCATAGACTTCCTAATTAAAGAAGGTACAGGGATAAAGTGCAAGCAGTACACAGTGATTCCCAAGTAGAAGGGAAATAAGAACCCTTCCACTTTCAGGTAGAGGAATATTGATTGGAGGGTTCCCCCGAGATGCAGTGCTATTAGCAATTCATATCAGTGCCATGTCTTCACCATAGACGTTCCTGAAGTGACGGTGTTTCCCAAGTCTTCTGTGATGCTGGGACAGCCCAACCTCCTCATCTGTCTTGTGGACAACATCTTTCCTCCTGTGATCAACATTACATGGTTCAGCAATGGGCATCCAGTCACAGAAGGTGTTGCTGAGACCAACTTCCTTCCCAAGGATGATCATTCCTTCTCCAAGATCAGTTACCTCACCTTCCTCCCTTCTGCTGATGAGGTTTATGACTGCAAGGTGGACCAGTGGGGCCTGGATGAGCCACTTCTGAAGCACTGGGGTACGTATGAACTCCACCCAATTTTGGTCTCTGTTAAGTCCAGAACATCCTGTCTTTTAGCCTCTAACTCTCATGACCCAAAACTTGTTTCCCACACTTTAAGGTTTTGAATGATAGACTTTACTCTCCACCCTAAGCCCAGTGCCCGAAGTCTTTGCAAATATGTCCCCACACTGCCCTATACAGATGCACATAAACCTACTCTGTATTCTGACCTCAACAACTTCACTTTCACAGAACCTGAGATTCCAACTCCAATGACAGAGCTCACAGAGAGTGTGGTCTGCGCCTTGGGGTTGGCCGTGGGCCTCGTGGGCATCGTGGTGGGTACCATCCTCATCATCCGTGGCCTGCGCTCAGGAGGTGTCTCGAGACACCAAGGGTCCTTGTGAGTTGCACCCTACAAGAAAGAAAGGTAAATGTTCAGATTTGTTAAAGCTGGAGCCCCAGTACAGGATGAAGGAAAGCTATGAGAGGGGTCTGGGGATAGTACTGTGGCTGAAAGGTTGTAGCAGGATTAGTAAAACAGCATTATGATGGCACAGGAGCCCCTCCCCCACAGTACCCTCAATCTCATGTATCTCCTGTTGCAGGTACAATGTCCATCTACAAGAACAGAAGAGTAGACTTGCTATGTGACCTAGCACTATTGTCTGGCCAAGTTCATCATATTCCTTCTCTCCTCCTAAGGCTCTTCCTCTCACTTCTTCTCTGGGACTTAAGGTGCTGAATCCCCTCAGATCTCACCTGCCCCTCTGAATCCTCCCATCCCTGATATCCCGATTTTTTTCTTTTCTCAGTTGTTACCTACCATGGGGATCGCTTAGATATTCCACTTAGCTACCTAATCCCTCAGCGATTTTCATCCAGTATGTCCATGGAAGCAATAAACCTCCCATTATGAAGTCTTTTATTGCATTTTTTCCTCTCTTTCATCTCAAGGCTGACTAGGATCATGGCTAAGAATGGGAGCTCCTTATATTTCAGGACCCTTTAATTTCATTTGCCACATCATGTTTCATGTCCAGTCGTACAGGAGTAACCAAGTGTTATGAATTGGATTGTGTCCCCCAAAATATGTGTTGGAATCCTAAGCCCTATACCTGTGGATCTAATATAATGTAATCATTTTCCATAATGCAGTCTAAGGTAATGTAATTAATCAATCAGCTAAGTTCATACCAGTGTAGGATGAATCCTAAACCTAATCACTTCTGAGTTATAAAAGCAACATAGAAGCAGAGACGTGCAAGCACAAACCTGGGAAAAAAGACACTATGTGAAGATCACCAAGGAATCAAGGACACTGGGGATACAGAAGTTGAAAGAGACAAGGTTCTTCCCCAAGAGCTGACAGAGAAAGAGCTTTCCCCTAGAGCTGACACCCTGAAGTCAGACTTCTAGCCTTTTGAACTATGAGAAAATAAATTTACTTCTTTGAAGCCACCTTTTTGTGGTATTCGTATTGCAGCAGCACTAGGAAACTAAGACACCAAGTACAGTCTAAGAATTTTTAGACAACTCAGCAGAGGTTAATATTTTTCTCTTCCTGTTGTTCCCATCCTTGACCACTGCCATTTACTCCCTCCAATTCAGATATCAATGAAAGGAATATATACCCTCTGCCCTGGTGGTGTAACAGTTAAGTGCTCGACCACTACTGAAAGGTTGGTAGTTTGAACACACCCAGCAGCTCCACAGGAGAAAGACCCGTTGATCTGTTCCCACAAAGATTACAGGCTAGGAAACCCTATGGAGCAGTTCTACTGTGTCACACGAGGTCGCTATGAATCTAAAATTGACTGGACGGCACCTAGCAACAACAGTCCGCAGTGTAGACTTGTTATAGCAGAAATACAAAAACAAAGAAATAAGACTGTAGTTATTTTAAGAAAACTTTTAAAAGTTATGACAGAGAAATAAACTAGGAAAAATAAAATTTGAATCTCAAAAGTACCTAAAGTCGGAAATTGACCCCAAAACTTCAAATTTGTGAAGAATGAATGATGATAGTAGAGGTTTTTCCTTTTCCCTCCCTATTCTAGAGGAGATAAGAATACTCTAGGCAGGAAAAGAAATGGAGGCCAGGAGAGCATTAGAATAAAACAATGATGTGAGTATCTGAGAAGGACCAAATATTTTGCCCTTACTTAAGGTTAGAAACAGTGGGAAAGGGATGGGGTAGAAACCACAGGCATATTTAAGAGTCCTAGAGCAGAGGTGTAGTTCACCTCACTTCCTAGATGAAGCCCTGCTAGATGACCACGTAGATACCCCTGTGTGATCAGGCATGTTGGTGACAGTATGGTGAATATGGCTGCAGGATATTCTTAGGCCTGTAACCTAAATTAGGCTCACTGAATCCCCCTGTGCATCCCTGTGTGCCCTGGGGAGCAGCAAAATACCCCACTATCCTCTACCCCTTATTCCTCACCCCTTCAGGCTAAGGAAGGCATGAACCTATGAAAGAGAAATTTTAGGAGGGACATCACAGTTGAGATAATACAGCAGCAGTTGTGGGGTGCTGCATACGCCACTGAATTCACCATATCCTAGTAGAAACTCTTGTAGAGGAAATTCTCTGCTCTCCCGACTGAGTCCAAGACCTCACTCTTGAGAGTGTATGTGTTGAAATTATTTTAGCATGTTGTCTCAGTCTTTCTACTCTTCAACTACTGAGCCCATACGTTGCATCTAGGATGGTATTGTGGAGTGGCTATAAAATCTGATACTGTCACTGTCCATGCCATCTATATCAGTGACCTTAAGATGTACTTGTGGGAAAAAGATAAACCATTACCAGAATAATAGATAGAGTATAGTTTGGTGAAAAGAGACCTAAATCCAAATCCAGGCCTCAGCATGTTATAGCTACTACTGTAAACTTTACAACATGGATAAAATATTTAACAGTTCTGGACCTTATTTCCCTCATCCATAAAGTGGTAATAATAATACTGCCCTTGAAAAGATATTGAAAGGATTTGAATAATCTTGATATACAGCAGTGCCTTACATGTATGTGCAAATACATAAGAAAGCATTGTTTGTTACAATCATAATCACTTTCTAAGAAAACTGGATCATATTACATGAAAGGCACTGATGTTTTTCTGAGCCCCTTCATTGATTTGGGACACGCAAGTGTGAACCTATGGATGAATTTCTCTTCACATGACACAGGATTTTTTTACTCTCCAGAATAAGAGAAGCTGAGATTGAGTTAGAAGAAGAGAATAGGTGGATAATAGTGATCAGAAACGTATCATTGGTGAAGGGTTGACTCAAAGAACTCTAGGGCAAGAATGTGTAATACTTGACTGTGGGTTTTTACTCTCTGACATAAATACGTCCCCTCCTTAGACTCGTAAATTTTTAGTCAAAATATGTTCTACACAATAGGTCTTTATGCATGTTTACTTTGGGGAGGGGTTCGGAAGATTCAAGGAGAAGGAGAGAAGGAGGTAACTGTGAGGTAGAGGTAAAAGAGTAATTAAAGATGTACACTAGGAATTACTAAAAGCAGAGACTCTAAACTAGAGATGATCATAAAAATAAAGGTCACCTGAAAATGCACAAAGATGCTGAGAAGTTCTTGGCAACAGGAATTTGAATAAATTTTATCTAAACTTCAGTGATTCTGGAGGCAAGAATCCTGTATTTTGGAGGTAAGAGAGTGCGTGTGTGTGCGCGCACGCATGCATGTGCTTGCTACTATAACGTGAGGGTTATATTAAGTGGCATTATGTCTAGAGTCCCAGGAATGCACTAATGCTACCTTACTCAGGTCCCCTTCCCCTGGAAGCACTAAGGAAAGCAAATTTAATGGAAGTTGCATTTTATTTAAAAATGCATTCACTAAAGCCTTCATTTAATTTTAGAATAGTAGAAGTAAAAACTAATCCTAAGAAAAAAGAACAACCATTTCTTCTTGCTAGCTAAAACCTATAATAAGTGATACCACTGCAAACAAAGTGGGAAATTAGCCCTCAGGTTTTGAATTACTTAATTTTTTCTTGAAAAATTATTATTTGAATCATTTCAGATTTTTATATATTACTTTAGTAATATTTAATATCATATAATTTACATAATCAAAAATCACATATATCAGCTGTGTAGTTGCCACATACTAATGAACTAGAGATTTTGAAAGCATTAAGTATGTTATTACCTATAAAGTACTTAGCACACAGTCTGACACATAGTAAGCAGTCAACAAATGTTAAAATTAGTGTTACTGTTATTCCTAAAGCCCAAGGCATAAATCCCAGATTAAATGATACCACAGAAATGCAATCAACAAAATCTACAATATAGGAAGCTCTACTAGAAAACTGTAAAGTTGGCAGTTCAGACCCACCCAGCAGCTCTGTGGGAGAAATACCTGGAAATCTGCTCCCATAAAGATTATGGCTAGGAAACATATGGGGCATTTCTACTCTGTCATATGGGATCACCATGAGTTAGAATCAACTCCATGGCACCTAACAACAACAAATTAGACAAACAACCCAATTTTATAAAAAAATAAGTTGTAAGAAAACATATACAGGGAAACTACAAATAGTTAAGAAAAAAAAGTCTTAAGATATGTATCAACCAAATTATAGGCTTTGTTTGGATCTATATTCAAACAAAACGTCTGTTAAGAAATTCTTATGATAAAATCAGGAAAACTAAACACTGACTGTATTAAGGTATAATTTATCTAAATTTAGGTGTGGTAATGGCATTGTTGTTATTTTTCTAAAAGTCATCATCTTTTAGATTTTCATAATTAAATATTCATGAATAAAATAATGTAATGTCTGAATTATGTTCAAAATATTCCAGTGTGTGTGTGAAAGTAAGTTCATGTGTTTGCAAAATTGTCCATGAATTGATAATTGTTGAAGCAGGCTGTTGGTGAGTGCATGGTCCTATTTTCTCTACTAATATATATAGATAAAATTTTCTATAATATAAAGTTTTCTTTTTTAATATTCCAGGAAAACCAAAAAAGAAATAAATAGGCACCGAAACATTCTGTTTGACGCTATCTTGCTTTTTAAGGTTTTCCTCATTTTTATCACATTTAGGAAAGCCAAATCATTCCCCAGACTAAAGGAACCTCTCAGAAATGTAACCCTGAAAAATGTGTATGCCACAAGAAACAATGGCAAAGGAAAGCAAAGTAATACTTGTTTTATAATCAGCTGGACTAAACCCCAAACCTTGGTAATACATTCATTGATTCAATCAATCACGTAAAATATTCATTGAGTATGCAGTGTTACGAGAAGTACTATGTTTTGAGTGTATTAAAATAATGTGAAACCAGATACATTCATTGTTTTCATAGAACTTATATTCCAGTGGGAAGAAGCATACATATATCAAACAAAATTATAAAATCTGAAGAATTTATAAAGGAAAACAAGGCATCATGAGGTAGTATTGCATGGGAGCCGGGTATAATTTGGTGGAGTTTAGAGGACATTTAAAGAAATGTATGTTGAGATGAATTAAGAAGGTGTATAGTAAGGAGAGGACAGTGGTGGTTCAATCGCCATAAGGCATGAAGGTAGAATAAACAACTGTCACACATGAAAGAGTATAAAATTTATCTAGCACACATAGTTTTATTGGCAGCAACTTAAGGACATGCTTTAGTAAAATGAAGCTATTAACCTAGAAATAGGAAGGCAAGGGATCCAAAAACAATGGATTAAGTAAATCCAGGACATCACTGAAGGGAGATCCTAGTATGACAGGTCCATGGCAAGCCCAGAGAGTATGGCTACATAAATGATATTTACAAAGTTATAAGCAACTCATTTTTTTTCAATTATAACAATTAAGCTATGAGAAAAGCCCAGAAGACAGTTATTGTTACAGAAGAATGCCAATATTTTCAGCTTTGACAATATAAAAGCACATTAACTTGAACTTGGGAAGTGGAAAAATAAAGGAGAAGGAAGTGAAGAGATGTTGGCCATAATTAGAGGAAGAAAACACAAAATAAGTACATTTAAAGCATAATAGTAACTGAAAGAAGAATCCTATAAAATGGTTCCAAACCTAATGAATTACTAAATAAAATGTGGTGTTCAAAACTGGAATACTATGCAGCCTGTGAAATAATAATAATAATTTATAATGTCATATGTGACATCATGGAAATATTTCTAAATCACATTGTTCACTGAAAAAAGCAACTTACAAAATGATATCAACAGAGTATCATAAGGGTTTAACACACACAAACCAGATATTACCTATATGTACTGACATATACATAAAAATGCGTAGGATTTTTACTCCAAACTGAAAAAAAAACTAAATTACTGATGTGGAGGAAGAGAAAGAATCACATCAGTGAGGGAGGAGAAAGGGAAATTTGGCCTTGTACATAAAACTATTTTTTAACTAGGAGGAAATAGTCATGTATTAATTATGTTGAATTTTTTTTTAAACAATATCAGTCAAAGTAAAATTATGGTTAGGATGAGGAAATTTCTCCTCATTGTCCAACTCTGGACAACACTGGAAAGTCGAGCAATAAATTGATTTGAACCTCCAGGAATGCTTGCAGTCTTTTTCTCAGTTGCAGAGTGGACAAATGAAAGACCACTTTCCAAATGTAACTTACACCATTACATTCTTGGGCCGCGCACCATTCCCACTGTGGAAGACACTTTTGACAACTTCATACCAATCATTTGCATTCATCCCTTCAGTGAGAACTTAAATTTTTTTAAGTTATTCCCATTCTCCACTTAGCCATATCCTTCAGGAGAGGATGGATCCCACAAGGTAAATCTTATTTATCTAACACAGTAATTATTAATTATATTTCTTTAACAATGAAGAGTTTTAGAAGAGGCAAGCTATATTATTCTGGCCAGTGAGGGAAAGAAGAATCTGCCTGATGTATTTTGGGGAAAATTTTCACCCTCATTAAAAGAGTCTATGTTTCTAGATTGCATTGGATGAGGATGTGACACCTGGAGTTGCTGCAGCCATCTTGTGATTATGAGAGAAGCTAGATTGAGAGAATCTCTTAGTAGAGTCATAGCCCTGATGCTCTGCACTGGACCACATCTTTCTCATAGACTTTGTTTTATATAGGACACAGATATGTCCATATTGTTAATGCACTTTTAGAAGGAGTGTTCTATTACCTGCACTCAGAGTGGCATGGTTAATGTTATGTGTCAACTTGCCTAGGCTATGATTCTCAGTATTTTGGCAGACACTATATGATCTCTTCCCATTTTGTGATCTGATGTGAGCAGCCAATCAGTTAGAAGAGGAGTTTCCTTGGGGGTGTGACCTGCATCCATGATATAAATGAATGTTCTGGCAAATCTCCCTCTTTTTTCGACCTTGCACTCTTCTCGCCGCTTGCCT